AGGCGACAAGGTTGTCTGGGAGCAGGGCTTTGATGAACAGGCACAGTCTAATAGCTATAGCCCTGCCAGCACACTTAACTCAGGCACAGACAGGTAGACAAATGTGTTGGTGTGTGCAAACAGAGTGGCATGTTTGCAGCCCTAGCAGGCGGCACAGATAGCCTTACGGTGAATATGTTGCTAACCCTGGTGGGCTAGCATCACCCCACACCTACTGTTAGCTGTAAACTTTGAAATGATCAGTGGCCCACTACATCATTCACGAAACAAATAGCAGAAAAGAAAAGATAGTGGAAGCTTTTTTATCAAATTAAGTGTGGATAGTTAATACGCACAACCTGCATCAGTTTGACTTTACATTACAGAAACATGAGTTACCTCATCAGTGTTACTACAAGGTCTGTCCAAGAAGCACAATCTGTACCTTTCACTCGCTCGTTTGCACGTTGAAAGAAATACTTCTTAGTATTTGTTGAAATCTAGATGTACTAAGTTTAACATGTTTATTTGTTTAATTTAATAAAGAAAACTCATTTGAAATTTTGTTGCAAATACATTTTGCTACAAATAAATTTAATTACTTTGTTTAATTTAAAAAAAAAGTTCAAGCTAATCATATTTTTGAGTACTTTTAAAATTTTTTGCCCAAGTGACAAGCTGTTTATACACTCTGTAATAGTGTATCAGGCTCTCAAAACTGCTACATATCTATACATATATATGAAATATAAAATTGAAAAAATATACACAACTAACTTAGCTAGCGGGCTGCACAGTGGCGCAGTTGGTAGAGCTGTTGCCGTGCAGCAAGAAGGTTCTGGGTTCGATCCCCGGCCCCGGTCTTTCTGCATGGAGTTTGCATGTTCTCCCTGTGCATGCGTGGGTTTTCTCCGGGTACTCTGGTTTCCTCCCACAGTCCAAAAAACATGACTGTTAGGTTAATTGGTCTGTCTAAATTGCCCCTAGGTGTGTGTGTGTGTGCGCATGGTTGTGTGTCTGTGTTGCCCTGCGACAGACTGGCGACCTGTCCAGGATGTACCCCGCCTCTCGCTCGGAACGTTAGCTGGAGATAGGCACCAGCACCCCTCCCGACCCCACTGAGGGACAAGGGTGTTCAGAAAATGGATGGATGGATAACTTAGCTAGCATCATTGCTAGCTAAATGATGCTAGCAGTGTTACGTTGTTGCGAACTAAAGTATTCCATTTGTAACGTCTTTGTAGCTAACTCTTCTTATTTGTAGCTAACTTTGTGTCATTGTGTGTATTTTCCACCTGATACTGCTGGTGGAATAGCCTTGTATGGGTTTACCTGCTGGACTGTATTTCCTAAATGAATAGGCCAAAGAAATGTGTTGTAGGTCAAAAATTATTATTTTTTTATTATCAAAAAACCATAATCATCTTTTTAACCCCTAAAGCAGGCTTTATTTTTACTTTATTTGGACTAGTTAAATGTAAGATATGTCAGCGTTTAGTTTTTCCTCCTTTTATATAGAAATAAATCAGCTGCTTTGTAAAATGGGTCAGACGCACTGAGGAAATTTTTGCTCCATCTGCCCACACATTGAGGCTCTAAAAGTCAATTTTCACTGTGCTAGTGGAATCTCAACCTTCAAAGTTTTCTAATCCTCAATAGTGATAGAAAATTATGTCAACTGTAATTTCCACTTTGATACAAATGTCATTTTTAATGCTGCATTGCCACATATTGGACTTTCCCCAAAGGACTTCATTTTAGAAAACCAACAGCTTCTAGAAAAACATCTCTTTTCATTTTGTTATTATGTTTGAAATTGTAAAATAAAATATATTTAATGGTTGATGTAGTTTACAAAGGGAACACAGACTGAAATGGTCAATATTTAATCAAGTTTTAGTATAACACAATAATCTTAAGTGGCTTTTCTGCATGATTAAACCCTCAATACCCGCTGTCCCATTTTAAGCAAACTTCTTCTTTCAGTATCAGGCACTTTTTATAATATTACTGTGTTTTTGACTGTGGAAAAAAAAACCCTGTTTAAAGATAATCAAAAAAAAAAACAAAGAGTGTCTGCATTGAAGACAATGGACACCACCACTACTACTCAAATCACAAGTATAAAGCATTTGTTATGTAAAAATCTTACATATTTTGCAATTCATGCATCATTCTGAACATTGTTGATTAATACAGTATTACAAGATGTAATACTGTATTAATTTGTGATAAACTGTCAGAATAAAGTGTTTTCTTGATTAGATTTCATATTCAAATTTATCTGAATGTTTTGTTAGTGACTCAAAAATGTGTTGATGTTGTGTTCTTTTGTTGATTTAATTTTATATGAAATAATTTAATACAATCTAAGGTAAGACTGCACAATATATAGCTAATATAGCATCACAATATCAGCGTGTACCATATTTATATCACAAAGAACTGTTTGGTGTGCAGTTATTGTTGGTTGGTTAAAATATGCTAAGTGTTGTGAACTTACTGTAGATTTTACATGATGATGTAATATTTTGTCTCAGGGCAGCAAATGTTCACAGTGGACAAATATCATTCCCCACAATGTTAAGGGTCATCATAGTCAAGGAAAAGATTTGGACGGCTCTAATGTCAGGCATCTTTAACTGAAAGTGAGATGGACTATGCTTTCCACGATATGCGTTTTGTCCAGAGGGTTTTGTAAAGACAGCAGTGCATGAATACTTCCTGTTTACTGCGTGTCACAAACAGCACCTTGTGTTTGAGAATTTGATCTTTTTTTTTTTTTACTAGTCATAGTTTATAGACCTGTATCCAAGTTTTCTTCATACATACATAATACACAGACCTGACAAAATCACAAAAAACATATTGACCTGGCTGATAAATTCCTCCAGAAGTTTATTACTATAAACAGTAATATTGTTGTCTTGAGACCATTTTCAAGTAATACAATGGCAATGGTATAATAATGCGAGTACACCTGCGCAAAGATCAATAAACTTTCATTTCTAACTAACATTAACAGAGAAACTGGAAGAAAATGTAAAATATCCTAAATAAAACAACTAATAAAATGGATGCTTAAGTCTCCATAAACAAAAATTGTCATAAAAAATCCAGCTTTAACTTGTATGATTACTTAATTTCTAGTTTATTGTGACAGGCTTATTCATACCTCATATAAACTGGGCAAACTGCAAAACAGCAGAAATACAAAGTACCTGGCTGTCCTGCTGACAGAGCCAACCATGGCAGTGAAGGCATTGTGTTTCTGTTGCTATGGTTTCCATATTCCACCCAGCGCTGAGTTCATGCAGCGATTAGAGCCTAAGGACACCATGAAAATCTTACGCAAGCCGGGATATCATAATCTAAAATCGATATAGATGAGAAACCATGTGCAGCAAAAAGAAACTTCAGCTGGCAGAACCGCAGCACTTATCCATCACCTCCTGCTCATCTTAAGCAAAACTATTTTACAGACATGGAAATTGTAATACATCAAAAATAAAGTTGTACCTTTTTTCTTCTTTTTCCACTTTTGCAACTGATTTTTAACAAGCACTATGTAGAGAAAGAAACTGTAGTTAACAAAGTCCCGTGATGCTGACTAAATATGATCAGATGGCTCAACCAAACCTCATAACATTCAGCATTGGTTCGCTGCAGAAGACTGCAAAGTAACAAGAATACAGCGGTCGACGCCGAAGCCCGGCACACCCACGGGTGAGGTAATTAAAAAATGTTTGATCAGTCCTAGAAATGAATACCCAAGCCATTCTTCAGTGCCTCAAGCTCAGCTCCTTACGTGTCGCTTCCCCTATCTCTTTACATGTTTAAAGTAATACTTTAATCTACGACTTTTTCAAATAATTGGCTGCCTTCCCAGTCTCTTGCCCTCTCGTTTAAACGCGATAGTAATTCACACTCAGACTGCGGTTCATGAAAGCATTTACAGTTGCTCTAGGAAAAATTCCTTTGCTGTAGATAAGAATTTGTCATATTTAAAAAAAAAAAGAAAAACCTAATGGAGCACATTCCCAACTTCCGCAGCCTTACCAGTGAGCTGTGTATTCAGGCCACACACCACTGGCTTATGTTTGGAGTTCTGATAAGTTCTTCTTAGAGAATTCTCAGTAAATATTCAGATATTAGGGGAGGAAAGCAGAAGAAACTGGGACTGATTGAATTGTGAAAAGAAAGATGTTCTAATTTGCTTTTAGTTTTATTTGAGCAAAGATACCACAAACCTAGTAGAACTCAAGTTTTGACTTACTAACTGCTTTGAGTCCTGGGTTTATTCCAAATGAACTGAAAACAGCTCGTAGCGACCACGTTTCCATCCAATTGTCATGCAAATTTTGAGCAAACTTTTAAAATGACAAAAGAAAATGCAAATGCACTGGTTTGGAGTGAATCAACCAGTTGACGCAAAGCGCATTTTTGTCAGATGCTAATGTTGTACATGACTGCAATACACAGGAAGGATAGGTTGCAAATTAGCCTGGACCACATATTTTAGAAAAATTAACAGGGTACTCTCCTCTATTGTGGGGGTTTCGACTTTGAAATTTTTCCAAATTTCGAGCTTCTAGTGAGCACAGACCCACCAGTGGATGGCAGCATTCATTACAGCAGAACTTTGTCAAAAAAATCATAGGGAAGAAAACCCACTGGACCAACACCAGCGTGGCCTTACCCTGCCACAGGATGTTCTGCGCTGTGTGACTTCATTATTCCTGGTTTTCAGGGTGTAGAGCTTTATATCCTTTATACGGTCCTGTGGGTGAAGCAATCCCCAGTAAATGGACATATTCTAATCCTAAACTGTTAAGATTTTTGAGTATTAAAGTTAGTCATGGTCTTAGTCTCTCAATTGGATTTCAGAAGCTCAGCAGCTTAGAAACTGCAGGTCCAAAGAGGAGCTTCGTCCTCAAAAGTGGGGGTACGTCCACCCACACATTTAGAATAGATAATGGTTGCCATGGGAGATTAAAGAATCAAAGCAACACTCCAGGTATGTTGTTTATGAAGGAATAACATTATAACACAATGTAAAGCAAAAAAAACAGAGTCTATTTTACATAATATTGCCTCTCTAACATTTCCTGGCCAGAGTTCAGGGTTTGATTCGTACATTACCCATTACTGTCCATCTTTGTTGCTTTGCAAATACCTCTTAGAAAACAAAACTGTGCATAAGACGCAGAAGGAAATTGGCGTACATCACAAAAGCAGCTAAATTGTAAGCAAACAGTCAAATCAGGTTTGGACTAATCTGAACAATAAAAGCTTGTTAGCTGCAGATGGGGTGTGTGTGTGCGTGTGTATGTGTGTGTTTACTGCAGTAATGTGTGCGGGACAGCTAAAGCCTGTCAGTCTAATTGTGATTATGGCATTTAATTAAGGCAGATGATTTTCACTTCTGTGGTAATCACTGACGTAGCTGTTTGGGGACATGTTTGAAGAATGTGAACTGTGCACGTTTTCCCTCAAACTGAGCATGAACCTGTCTATCTGTCTTACGGTGGGATTAGCTTCATGTCATCCTTCCTGGAAAAGAAAAAAAAAAGAAAAAAAAAAAGAAACTGTTTGCACTGAAATCCTCATCAAGCCATCAAATGTCCTCTTGCTAAAAATAACCGTCTCATGTCAAGCTGTGGAAGCGTTCCCGTCCACAGCAGCTGTGTCAGACTCACGTGGCAGCGTGGTAAAACGTCGGGAGTTGTCACCGCGAACAGCTGCATCTCCCACCTCTAGAACCGAAACAACCCTCTGTCACCGGAGCTTTCCGCGATGACGACGGAGTCGTTCTCGGGCGTCTGTGGAAGCTCGACTCCCTTCTGGCAGATTAAATGACCTGTGAAAGCCGGGATGAGAAACACGAAGTTGTGATACATAAACAGATGGAACTTTTTACAGGCGTACAAGGCTAACTAGCCAAGTGTGAAAACAGCTAATTGGAATGACGGCGATGCACCCCGTCCTCGCCACGCGTGCGTGGGCGGGCGGGCTCGTTTGTGTGCTGGTCCGACACGCCCGAATGGAGAATCTAATGTGGGATTTCTTGATTTGTCTGTCAGAGAAGGTGAGATGTGCAACTCAAAAGCATGTCCTTCATCATTCAGATCATCATATTTTGCTTATTAACTAAGACAGTTTAAATGGACAAAATGGCTCCTCTGTTTTCTTCAAAAAAAAAAAAAAAAAAAAAAAAAAAATCAAGAAACCACCAAAAGGCAAGTGAAAATCATCACAGGATTATGTCTGCATATAAATGATGTTTCCACAGCAACGCTGAAATGCTGCTGATAATAGCACGGATTTCACACAATTTATATTCCATATGGCTGATGTGTGCAAGCCCGAAGTTACGAATCAGAAATGTGAGACGAAAACATTTAGACATAAAGTGTTGTTACAGACTCGGTTTTAAAGGCCTCAGTGTGTGACAGGAGAATTGTGGGTAAAAAAAAAACTACAGCTACAAAACCGTATTACAGAACGTTCGCCCTAACTCTGCTTTGACTATTTACGTTTTAAATTCCCTACAACTAAAAAATAGCAGCTTCTCAAAACCTCTGTTGTTTTGTTCTGAGTTTCTAAGTGTCTTTGCTTTAATAGGATATTTTGTCAGCATTTCTAATCAGTACAACTACCCCGCTTCCACTGAACCTTCCTTGTTTTTCCTGTCATCCGACTGCAGCGATAGCAGCAGTTGTGACAGTGCCAGAGGCCACACTGATCTGCCACACAATAATGTAGCAGTCTGCTGCCGCCTCTCCTTGGTCGTCCTGCTCCCCCTCTTTCTTACCTCATAAGACAGCTTTACAAGACAGGAAGTCCACCCATCCACCAGGCATGCTGCCCCATTTCCATCTTTTGACGGAGCATGGATGAATGTGAGCCTTTCTCATTTGACAAATCGTAAGTTGTCGACTCTTTCATTTTGTACGTGCGGGCAGCATCTTCACTGTTAATATACAGGAAGCTTGATCAATTGTTTTCTGTCTCATTTGAAAGATATGTAAAGTTATGAAGGCATCATGCAGGTTGATGAAGAAACCAACACCAGTTCACTTACAGACGGAAAGGGAAATCAACTACAAACTTCCTTTAAAAATTTCTAAAATGAAAACAACAGACGCCTCACTTGAAGGACCGCTCATCCGTAATAGCAATTCAAACTCTCTTAAACATACTTATGATTAGTCAAAATTACATTTTGGGTACTTAAATAACTAGTCCTCTTCTGCTGCCACTAAGCTGTCCAGTCGGTTGCCTGCAGAATTTTGAGTTTTCTGCGCCAAATTACTATAAAATGTCACAATGTAAAAAGAGCTCAGCAGAATAGGATATGTGCAACTTCATAAACTTGAAGATTGCGTCCTATATTTTCTATTTCTTCTCTTCCGACACACAAACTTCACTCAAAACCGGCTTTGAGAAGCTAAGAGCTGATTTCAACCCATTCCCAAGCTAAAAATGGTGCTTTTTTTTTTTTTTTAGAGAATTTCTAAATGCTACATAAATCTAGTCACAATGTTAATCCAATATATCTGAAATAGAAAATACAAAGTCTTTAAGTTATCTCTAACTCATTTAGAGACATATTAAAAGGAGTAAAAATGACAGTAGATATCTTTAAAAAGCAAAAAGTGAGATATCTCAAATTTACTTCAAGACCTGTCATTTAATTGCCTATTTGAAATATGTTTCAGATATTCAGTAGTTCATTGTAAAAAGCTTCATCTGCAGCCTCCATACAACTCAGTATTATGTCCTGTCAAAATATAATTAAGAGATATCTTAATTACCTAATATAAACAGTCATAAATTTTACATATTTGGAATGCAAGTGTGGCAAAATTGATTTTATGTCAAAACAGCCTGCCTTACACCTGCACACTTTACCTCTGTTCACTCAGCAAATCGACATCAGTGCTGTTATATTATTATATCCTCTACAGTAGCTTTACAAATTCTGCCGCTGATCAGCAGGTTTCCCAGGGATTTGTGTCAGATTTATGAGGTAAGCTGGGATATTGCTTTTGCAGAGATTCAAAACGTGGAATGTCACTGATCTAAACATATTTCAGCCGATCAAAAGATGAATATGTCAAGCAGACATCGCAAATGCAGCCATGCACATGGATTCTGTTGGTTTTCAGAAAGGAATGAAAAACAACTGCAAAGACAAAGTTTTCAAAAACATATGCTCGGGTATTTTAAGGGTTATGGTATTTTACACCGTCAAAAATATATGCTGTAATATTTTCAGGGTTGAAGTCTACACTATGAAAATATACAGCAATTCTGTAGTCCAACTCTTAATGGCTTTTAGCTTATTGTGTTTCTGATTAAGGAAAATAAAATACAGTAAATGTGATTTCTTTTACCCTCAAACCTCGAGAACTGCAGACAGAAATGTGAAATATCTCCAATTACCCACTGACGGTAGTTAGAACAAATTGCCAGATTGGATAATCCTTGCTATTCTGAATAAAGCAACTCCTCCATCAACGTTTTTTGATTTTTTTAGACACATTAGAAAAGATTGGTGAAAATGACAAATTTGTAAATCATTTTCTCAGTTTTTGGAAAAAAAGTTTTTACGCTTTTTAGTTTTTTTGAAAGAGTTAATGTGCTAAAAGGAAGATGGAAACACACTGCCAAGCAAACATTTTACCAGCTGCTTTTCCATTACAAATGTGCAAAAAACTTTGTCAATATTCCGGTATTGTTGAAAAATTTTGCAATTGCTTTGTTTCCATTACATAAGAAACATTAAAATCAAATGTGAATAAGTTTGTTCATACAATAAATCATTAAAAAAAAACATGTTTTTTTTTTAACATGTGTTTTGGAGGATAACAGGTTTGATTGTTATCCTCCAACAATCAAACCTGTAAACTATAAGCCAACAAAATATTACAGTAGTACATTCGCGAAGTGAGGACCAGACCTTGATGGATACGTGCTGTTCTGTTCTGGAGGCCAAGTCTATGTAACTAAGTAGAAGGTGATTTGACTAATTAGTAGCTTTGCTCACAAACACAGGTGTGTAAAAACATGTTTCTCCTTTACAGATTTCTTTTGTTTTTGCCGTTTTGTCACATTGAAATGTTTCAGATCTTAAAACAGCTTTAACATTAGGCCAAGACAACCACTGAAATGCAAAACACACCTTTTCATCATGAATTAATTTGCTTAAGTGAAAAAAGCCATCCCAACTAACTAGATCTTATTACAAAAATTAATTTCCCTCTAAATCTAATAATTGGTTGTGCCCTCTTGGTGGCAACACCTGTCATTACGCGTTTGTAAAAACTAGTAATGAGAGTTTTACATCAGTGTGTGGAAATATTTCCCCACTGTTCGTTGGTGAATTGTTGTAACTAAGCAACGCTAGAAAGTTTTTTTTCTTTAGCTTTAACAGTTGCTAAGGCCAGGCCACACTTCAGTCTACGGGTCCAGTCTGGGCTAAAACTTGGGCACCTCTTAGCCTCAAGTCTTAAAGCTTCATCTGTTACTTTTGTACCAAAACGGTATAAACACCTTTCAGAAAGTTCCACTTTTTGTTAGACCTGAAATACTCTAAACTTGGCAAAAACAATAAAAAGAGGAAATCTGAAAGAGTTAATACTTTTTTTTAACAGGAATAATCTTCTCAAAGAACCTGGTTAAAATTTCCGAGGCTAGCTACTGTAATGTCGGCATCTTTACATAAGAGTAAAAAATTATTTTTTTTAATTAGTGAGTGTGGCCTATGTTCAGGTGCGCCCAACAGATCAGAAACTATGATAAGCTAAATGTTTTTTTCAGTAAGTCAGATTCTAAAGAAACAGTTTTCCTGAACAGTTACATTTCTTAATAGAAACCATATTGTGTTGCATTCAGGATTATATAATCTTTAAAATCGTCTTGAGCAATAAATTTGTCTTAAACATGCTAAAGTTTGAATTTAGCATTACATTCCAGCACAGCTAATCATCTCTACACTGCTGGACGTAATATAGTTCTATATAAGATTTAATGCATTTAATTTTGACCTAAGGTTTTAATAAGTTGTGCAGAATTTTCTATGTTATATATTTGGAGTTGCAATATAATTTGAATTTAACAATCTGAGTAGTACAAAATGTCATTTACCATTAACTATTAAGCATTATATAAACAGTATAATACAAGCAGCAGTGTTCACAGCAGAGATGCACAGAAATACGGAGGAATATTTCAACAGAAATCCATCTCAATGTGGTTGCACACAAATCCCACCTATGGCATCATCCGCAGGGTTCCAGCATCTGTGCTGGATGATCATCAGTATTTCCTTGAGTCGTCTATAATATAAATATATCTCAATATTATTCTCATGCTTTTTTTAATAATGATATGACTGGAAGTTTACATCGATGCCAACATGGTGACAGTGACAGGGTAAAAACAATATTCACATTCCTGTTTCCCCAATGCAGGAAACAGATTAGCGATCAACAGACACTGAGGGAGAAGATTTGTCTAATGGTTGCTGTATGAATAAATATAAATTATGAAAAGCTAATGAAAAGCTAAATCATAGTGTGATAACAGACGGTTTTCAGATTTCAACTGATATGGTGTTCAGTTTAAACTCATTTAGATTTTCAGCTTGTAAATTAATGATCCTAAATGATTCCACAGCTTCATGTCGTAAATCAGTCTTTATCACTGTGAAAAATATCTGAATGATAAGATTCTGCATGAGTAAAGGAGATGTGCATTGGTTGCGAGAAATGAGGAAAAGCCAGGTAATACCAAACTGTAACATTTTAAATCTGTTTTTTTATGTTTAAAATTTCAAGAAGTATTTGTTTACAC